GTAGTATAATTTTTCTGATAAAGACATGGTCTTTATTTAATAACCCTTTCAGTGATTCCATAAGTAAATGTTCTATATAATCCCACGTCAAATAGCAATATATCAAGTGTTAAGATGGCCGTGCAGTCAATCTAAGTTCTTCCTTTTTCCCTTAATAGGTAAAAAGGATGGAAAAAAGGCAAAGATTTGCTTTTTTATTCTGTAATCTTTGATATGAGATTAATCTTTCTCCTTTATTTTGCATATCGTAACACGACTTTAACATTTTCAGCCATCAGTCACATAGTTTCTATTTTAAATTCCACACCTCAGCAGACATCTTTTAAAGTCAGAAAAGGGGCGTTTTCCCAACTTTATAAGAAATCCTCTTTAACTTGGGATTTGAAATCAAACGTGTGGTTAAAACAAACAAGGGTGCTTAAGTATACAAACATGTTTTAATTTCTTTCATTTTGCAATTTTTACCAGACTAAAGATGTTAAATTTAGGAGACTACACTTTAAAGAATCATTCTTGTTTTACAGCATCTAAGCATCTTGGGTTGTAAAAAACAAAAACAAAAGAAAAACAGCCTGAATGAAGCTTGGCCATTACTTTAGGTCATGGTTGATGGAACATACAAATTTTATATGAGCAGTTTCAATGTGTTACCCTTAAGTTTCCAGTTCGTCATTACAGCTGTTGACTGTTGCATCTGGAAAAAAAAAGAAGACATTTTGACATTTAAAGTATGGACTAACCCTCAGAAGAAAATGTAAAGAACTGAATCTGTTGATGAGCTGCAGCCAGGATTAAAACACCTGCAGCTGTAGAATTTGGGAATAAGTTGAAAAAAGTGATGCTGTTTGCTGAACCTCTCTATTCTACCTCCTTATCTGCAGGATTTTGTTTCGGGCGCTGTTCAACTCCCTCCACTTCCCTACGTCTCTGAAAACCGCTCATAGAGATGAGGCGGCTGTAGAGCAGTACCGCCGCAGGATGCATCGCTGGAACCTGAAACACACAGCAGCCAGCAGCCTCCCTGTGTGCGCAGATAATCCAGGGCTGGTGCCCAGTGAGGACGAAGTGATGTCATGACCTTTTCTCAGAGACACAGAAGGTTAAACTCAAATCAGCAACTGATGTCAGGCAACAGGAGATAGAGGAGATATTCGGTGCAATGAAGTGTTAATCTGACAGAACTCTGCAGCTTCCTTCAGCTCAGAGAAGACTGATATTGCCACGCATGACAGCAGCTGTAAGACCAAAACCAACAGCTGAAACCAGACTCTGGTTTGGGCCATGAGAAAAAAACACAACCCCAAAAACTTTGATGCTGTTTGAAATGTGTTTACGTACTGTACATGCAGCTATGCACTATAAAATTGTTACCATTGTTTACCTGCTCAGCTCAGGAAGGATTCCTCAGCATCTGACTGACTTTCCTTTGAGGCACATTTATTTATTCCTGTACAGGCTTTGGTTTCTATGAGAGCAGATGCTAAAGCTAACCTGGATGGACATGAATCCAGTTTAATGAAGATTGTCTAATTATTTTTGTCTTTTTGATTCAGTCGACTAGTGAGAGTAAAGATCAACATTCCCAAAGACAGATGGTCCTGTTCTGGTGTTTTGAAGTGCCTTTTCACTCCTTTATCAAGAAAACAATAAAGCAATAATGAATACAATTGAGTCTCATTTTAATGGTACCTGATCTTGTCACATTATCACTTATTATACAAGATTGAATGATTTCTTTTTTTATATATATCATGTAACTTCATGGACTTTGGTTCCCAGGTTTCATTGATGGGTTAAATCATTCCCACATTAATTTGCTCCACTTGCAATAGACAGTAAAGTCTCACCAGGCGATATTCATGTATGAAAACAGCAAAACGCAATTTGAAGCATGCAGATACAAAGGTTTGAAAAAAAGGCAACAGTGAGGTCAACTTTACAACAATGAAACAGTTATTGAAAATTGCATATTCATATTAGAGAAACATGCAAGTGGGAAGTGTGATTGGAAAATGTCAAATATTTGTATCCGTTAATGAAAAACGTCAACAGACTGCAAAAAGTAAGGGGAAAAAAAACATAATGTGGTGATCAAGACAACTGGTGGTTTATTTGGAGCAGCGAAGGATTATGATGTATCTCTGGAAGGAAGGATTCAATTAATTTTATTTGTGTAGCACCAATTTACAACACATGTCATCTCAAGGAAATTTAGAGTTAACCAGATCATCCAGTCAAATTGATTCAAAGTTTTCTAAAGAAAACCAGTTAATTGCATCGATTCATTGACTCAAATGCAATCCTTTACACTAAGTGGACACTGTGGATGACAGTGGAGAGGAAAAACTCCCTTTTAAACCTCCAGCAGAACAAGGCTCAGTGTGAGCAGCCATCTTTGCACAAGATGTCCAAGGAGGGGGGGTGTTGACCCTTGTCCCTCTTCCTATCACCTCCTCTTTCTCCCAAGTCAGGAGTAGTACAGCTGGATTGCTTGAGAAACAAAGGAGTTAAGCAGTCTGTTGGTCCTACATTTGGGGGGAGGCAATCTCCCACTGATCAGGCTCCTCTGAGTGGTGAAGACAATGTGCAGAGGCTGGCATTGTCCATAATGTCCAGCAGTTTAAATGTCCTTTTCTCTGCTACCATCCCCAGTGAATCCAGCTTCTTGCCAATCACAGAGCCGGCTCGCCTCACCAGTTTGTCCAGTCTGGAGGTGTCCTTGGATGGGCTGCTCCCCCAACACACCATGGTGTAGTAGAGCAATGTTTTTCAACCCTGGTCCTCAAGGCACCCTGCCCTGCATGTTTTAGATGTTTCCCAGCTTTCACACACCTGTTGTCAATTGATAGCAGATTATCAGGCTTTGCTGAACTGCAATCATCTGAATAGGTGGGCTGAAGCTCAGAAAACATCCAAAACATGCAGAGCAGTGTGCCTTGAGGACCAGGGTTGAAAAACACTGTAGTAGAGGACACTGTGTTCTTGTTTCCATGCATACCTGTGTTTCTTGTTGGAGCAGAGTTTCCACACAGCAACGGCTGTAAACAGCTGCTCAATTCGGCTAATAAAGAGGAATTCAGCCCTAAGTTGTAGACATGAGATATTATATTATATAAATGATCCAATATTCTGGGCTTATCCCTGAAAATATATCGCTATTTCAGAATAATATGTGATACTTTAGGAATATTTTGAAAAGCTGTCTCTAAAGACTTGTTCCTGGTTTTATCTCATTAACTTTAGCAGAGAATACATTTTATAAATATAGGAAACACTGGCATCTTTAGACTTGTGCTTCTAAACTCTTCCAAAATGAGTTTTTTAAAAGACTTGGAGCATTTATTTAAAGTATTTTTTTGTAGAAGCATTCCTTGTATTCCTTGCCTCCACTCTGGGTTCCTGAGTAAGACCCTTAACTCCAAACTGCTCCCAAGGCGCCACACAAAGGCAGCCCACTGCTCCCCAACGGGAGTCAAATGCAGAGAGTGAATTTCCCCAGTGTGGGCAGAGGCGTAGCCAGGAATTTTTTATAAGGGTGGCCAGGCAATACCTAATGTACACTGAAGGGTGGCCGAAAGTGGATAGGCACGAAAACCTCACGGTTAATCTACACTGTTCCAACAAGAAAATTAATGAGCAAAACATCCATATTTCCTAAATAAAGACAAACTATACATTCCTCCAGTTTTTGCTAACAAATAGACGCAAAAAAATAAACATCTGTATTTCGTGGATAAAAGGTATAGTCGATAAAACTCTGCTTTGAGTTCTGGGGTGTAAATCAATTATCATTACTTACCTACTTGTATCAATAAACATTCTGCATAAAACTGATATTTAAAAGCACTAATATCTAGAAAAATTGATTATTTGAAAAAGTTGTTATTAAAATTGTTATATATCTTTGACTTTAAGACTCCTAGATGACTTGCAGAGACACACATTTTTGTTTTTACCCCATATAACACAAAATCTAGTTCTGAAAAGAGCATGAATTCTGTACTTATCATCTTTACTGTTTGTATATTGATGTGTATAGTTAAAAACAAAAAAAATAATAAAAAGTTTTGAATATTCCACTTGTGAATATTACTGCCGCCACCATCTATATTAAGTCGGACGTACACTGTGCGATTTTTTTCAATTGTTGCACGCAGCTGCAGCTCACACTGTACGACGAAAACGCAGGGTTTCGTCGTACAGTGTGAGTTCACAGCTCACGATGTACGTCTAAAAAACACGTCTGACTGAGCTCCGCAGTGAGATGGAGCTACTCTGACTCGTCTATCTGGTAGCAGAATAAGTAGAAGAGGAATATGAGGCTCACTAGCATGAAACACGCTGCCATATGGCAATTTGTAAAATTTTGTGCTGAAAGCCCTAAAAAGAAAAGGAGACGACGTAATTGGACAAAGACATGGCTGAGTAAACGTGGCTAATATGGTCTGTCAGCTTTACAGAAAGAACTCCCTTTCACCTGCACCGCCGCCATGCTGCTGTGTTTACATCTGAGAGGAAGAAGGAGAATTCTTGTTTGCACATGTTTGATTTTCTCCCGACCTCACAATTCCTGATCGGGAGGTGATCGTGAGAGGCTAATAGCCCCTCAATACTCCCGTACACTACATGACGCACGATCAGGCTGGAAGTCGGCCCGATCGAAAAATTCTCGCACGACTGGAAAATCGCCCTGAACAGGGCAAAGAATCGCACAGTATAAGCGCAGTGTAAAAAATGGTAGGGGTGGCCAATGATTGGCCCCCATGGCCACCCCTGGGCCCCCATCTAGCTCCGCCCCTGATTGTGGGACAATAAAGGGATTTACATACATTTCCCAGTTAGGCCCCATGTGTGGCTGTCATTTTAACCATTCCTTGTGTGTTTCTTCACTTATTCCTGTAAGTGGTTTTAAGTGGGCGGAGTTAATTGATTAAACTCTGGTGTGTGTTTTCTTGGAGAAACTGTCAGGCATTACTTCAAGTCAGGGGTTAAGTTACCGCCCACCTGTTTGCAGGGTTAATTATTTGTAGAGCTGAACAGATAAGAACTGAGTGTGTTTCAGGTGAATGTTCTGCTGTCTGAGCTGGTTTCCTCCTGGGCGGGTCTGACAGGCTGACTTTCAGTTCCCTGCAGCTGCTGTTTGCTCAAAGGTTCCCAGAGCTGAGGAAGGAAGCGGCTGAGGCAGAAATGAGTTTCTACAGCGACGCTTCCAACGATGACCTGAGCGACGAGTTAGAGACTTTGGGGTGAGTTTTTCCTCCTTTTTTACCAGAGGAACAGGGACACTTTCTCAGAGGTCATGAGAATTGTCTTTAATTTAGTCCTTGTCAGTAAAGTTAGGCGGATATTCACAGATTCGGTTTTTCTGGACCAATAACTCATCAGCGGAACATGAACTCTAAAGAACAGACTCCTTTTTACAATAGTTTATTTCCTCCAAACATCTTAAATTGTCCTCTATGCAGAGCTGGCTGTCAGATGCGCAGCGACCGCCTGCAAATGACACCACCACAGAAATATGATAATGGTGTCACAGGTGCGCTGGTATGAAAATCATTTGATGTCAATGTGGTCTCACCTACTTCATACTACTTTTCTTTTCTTTTTTTTTTGTTTGTTGGAGAATACCTAAAAAAATAATATTAATAAAATAGAAAAAAAAAAAGAATTCGAAAGTCCATTTAAATAGCCAAATATTCTGTAGTTTATTTTTTTCACAATAGAAAAAAAGTCAAATAAAAATAAGTTTGCTTTCTAAATCAAATGGCTTTGAATAAAGGGTTTTCATTTTTTATAAGATTTATTATTTAAAAGAGTTTTATTTACAATCTAACATGTTTTAACTCTTGTATGCAAATAGGAAACAAGCAATGCATGTTAGAGTGCCATCATACTTGAAACATAAAATTTTGGTGATTTTAATATTGAAAAATAAATTTGAAAAAATTACACTCTTATTATTCTTTTTTTTTTTTTTTTACAGCAGAGGTGTTCAACAGGGGGTCTGTGACCCCTAGGGGGTCCACCGAGGTGCTGCATGGGGGTCCGAAATATTTTGGTTGATTAGACTTTTTTTTATATATTCCACCCTGCTGCAATTTTTTCCACTAATTGAAATGTCTTTAAATACACATTAACATGAATTCAACACACTGTAGTAAACGGATAAATGGAGGCAGAAAATGTCTTTCAGTCATTTATGCACACATTCAGTGACACACAGGAGCTCTTTCAAGCTGGGCACCATTTCATTCACACCACCTGTCCCGTTAATGAGGGATCAGATTTAGAAATATTTTAATAATCCCAGGGCCACATTATTTTTGTTACATTACTCCATATGTGATAGAGTGACTATGGGACCAGTTTGATAGAACACAGTTTCATATAATACATATAATTATGGTGTCTCTGCTCCATTTTGCCATCAGTTTGGGGGTCCTTGACCTGGAAAATGTTGAAGACCCCTGTTTAACAATGTCCTGTCTGGCAATGTGGCAATAAGAATAATTGTCTTGAAAAAAATTACACTCTAATGCACATTGTTATTATAAACGGCAAACAGAGCACTTTATCTTGTTCAGACTAAAACTCTTTCTTTAAAGAAATGCACTTAAACGTATTTTGATTTTTTTTTTTCAAAATAAGTTATAAATGAGCAATTACTATACATCAACGTGTTGTAGTGCCATCTTGATCATAATACAACTCTGTTATCCCAGTTCAAATCTCTTTTTGTCAAGAAGCAGGTTGGAGTAATGAGCTTCTTGTGCCCATTTCAGACAACTGCAGTTACGCAGTCACAGTTATCATTTATTATTATTTTTATTACTGTATTACATGTTGTGCAAGAAAGAAATCGTATGGATTTCTTTAATAATGGAATATATATATTTAATCATATGTCATGTTGCATGGGTAAGATGTAAAACTAAATTTTTTATGTGCTAATGTTATGCTGCCTGATCTCATTTGACAAATGCAAACAGTTAAATAAAAGTTAAACATTGTTTGGTTGTAATACAGAGTTATTACCAGTATAAGCAAGTCTGCATTAATAAAATGGCATATTTTCTCTGTTTTATGAGTTTGATGCCACTACAGCACACCTTTGTGAAATCCTTGTTTTTTCTTATACTTACTCAGCATGTAGTTGTTGCCCATTTATTAGTTATTTAAATAATTTTTAAAAACACCAACAACAAAAAAAACTTTAGGTACATTTTGTCTAGCTAAGAGTTAGTATGATAAAGCTGATGTGTACTGAAAATACTAGTTTCCAATACACAAATACGTCAGACCACAAACACACATTAAACACATAAAAAAAGCACATAACATAATTCAGATGACAACAAACCTCTCCTTCGTGACTCCATTGAATATTTCTTTCATATTTTTGTGGTGTAGCAATTCGCAGACGGTCCCTGCATGTTTGACAGCTGGTGAGCTAAGCAGGCCAGTGAGAGTCTCCCAGCCTGATGGTTACGCTGGTTTGGGGAAAAATACAATTGTAGCTCAATGTCTGCTGCAGAAACCAGTCAGTCTCTCAGGAATTGTTTTCAATTCAATTCAATTCAGTTTATTTATATAGCGCCAAATTCACAACACATGTCATCTCAAGGCACTTTACAGTTTTATTATCTGTTATCAAATGCACACAGTTTTGCACATTGAACGGGTGTGTTCTCCGAAAGTAAAAAAGAAAAAATAGAAATAGAAACATTGGAAGGTGACCTGAGAAGGTTTTATTTTGTTTCTTTTTGAGTTTAGGAGCTGAAAAATATCTTACGGTCTTTTAAACTTTAAACGTTAGGTTATTTTATGTTGAAGCTGAGAATTGGCTTTTTTATATGCAAAGTGGAGTACTGCGACGTTCCCTCTAGAGTGGCGGACTCTGGTTTAATCAGAGAGGTTGCCTCTATCAAATTAGTCAAATGCTCAGCCTGCCTATAAAAGCTTGATATAGGACATTCGAAATGAGCAACTGACTTTTTAGAGAGAGGAAAATCCAGAACCCATCAAAGAAATTAGCTGTGGATGGATAAATACACTTTTTTAGTTCTGTTTGTTGGTTCTATTTAGAGTATCTTTGCTTATGTGCAGTTTGAAATTTTATGTCAATCTTCAAATATTATAAAAGTTGAACTTTAATGGCTCATTTAGAAATTGTTGGGGTGATTCTAAGGAGTTCTTAAATGTGCTTCTCTTGTAATTTAGTGGCACTTCTGCACTGGAGCAAAGCTGTCGAAGAATTTCCACCTTTGAGCAACTAATTGTAAACGGTAGTTGATTGAATTAGACTGATTATCCATCTCTGTATCTGTCTATGTTTTGCTTAACCAGGGCTCTGGTCATGGCAATAATGATATGTCCAATAAGGAGCAGTTCTTGTTTATCTCTTCCCATTGGAATGTGCCTTGGAAAAGCCCTACCTGATTTCAACTGTGTCCTGAAAGTCATTCTTAAAATCAAGATTCATATAAATAATGATTAAAGTAGAGATTGTGGACCTCATACAGCAGAGATGGATGGAAGGCTGACTGCTTTTGTGCATCCTCACAAAAACTGACTTGTATTTATCAGGTTTGTCAACCATTAGAGACATTAAAATTTTGAAAAATGATATTACTTAGACATTAGAAGTAAGTTGGTAGATTTCAGCTACTAATTCAGGAAAAGTCCTGTAAAAAGTACAAAAAAAAAAAAAATCATCATTGAAGATGCAAAAGTTTTTCTTCATAATCTGTGTTGTCTATAAAACTCAGCATAAAAATCAAACTTGGAAAAAAATTAAGATAAAACTGATGTATTTTCCAACTATATAGATGATATTACAAGCTGATGGATTAGAGTCAAACGATTCAAACTAAATATTTTGTTTTTTTTGTGTGTTTTTATCATAACTTTTATAAAGCCAGACTTTAATCTCTGCCCAACCTTGAATGCAAATTGAGAACTTCCACTTCCCCTTTTACTGTTTATTTTTTCATTCACATCTGCAGCACATTTTTAACTGACTATTTCCAACTTTCCGGTTCACATCTTTGCTCTGTTGACTGTATTTTCTCTTTGTCCAGCTTAATTTCTATAGTTTGAAACCTAAATAGTAAACGCAGAAAGGTTAAAGACAATATAATGAAATCAACCATGTTAGTCCAAAGAAGGTAAAAAAAATACTAAATTTAAGAAAACTTAAGTTTTTGCTATTCTTGAAAACAATTCAACCTATATGGGTGAACAGGGTGTAGTATTTGGATAAAATATCTCTTAAATGTATCAATGATTTTTTTTTTTTTTTTTTATATTGAGTTAATCTAGTTTTATTTGAACTTGATTCGGCAATATATTTATTTAACTTAAAAACTGAACTAGTTCATAGATAGAATTAGAATTCCTCCGGGTGAATCCCCAAAAAAAGTGATGCACAATAAAAAACGGGTTTCCATGTATGGGCCCCTGAGGAATGCCACATGTGAGATTTTGCAGGACTGATAAAAATTTAAGATTTCCTTAAATTGTACTACAACCACTTTTGGTGTTGTTAAAACCGGTGAAAAGCCTTTAAAACCAAAAGTATGTAGTCATATCATAAAAAAATTACATCTGTTCTATTTTAATTTTACCTTTTTTTTTTTTCAATAAATAAACATTAGTATTACTATGTGTATTTTTTTTTTTTTCTTTCGTTTAGGGAATCATTCAATTTCAAACCAGGGCTGAACAATTATGCCAAAAATCTAAATTGCTTTTTGTTTCCTTATTTCAAAAAATATTTCAATTGCTATTTCATTTTTGATTTTCCTTTGCAGTAACCACACGTAGGTAGATGTTTCACTCCAGAGCTTAGTTATTTCCATGACCTTGGAATGCCTGCTTTTCCTGAGTGCAATGTCACAGAAATGTATTATTGTGCGGAAAAGTGCTTACTTCTGTTTGCATACTTTGATGTGTTTGCTCGCAGCAAAAGCAAACTATTCTCTCGTTTTTGTATTTTATCTAAATACAATGCATGTAGGTGGGTGTCTAGGGCAGATGTTAGCTTCTTAACTTTCCACAACTACAGTTATATTTTGGGTATTTTACACTGACATGTCAATACGCCTTACATGGTGGCAATATAACCCTTGTTACTTGCCCAAAACTTGCCTTTTAATTAAAAGTGCTTTATTTCCTTTATCTGTTTAACTTTTAATCTTTTTTTTTTTTCTTCCCAGGTGGTACCACTACGATCTGTCCCGGCATGCAGCAGAGGCACTCCTCATGTCCAATGGGGTGGATGGGAGTTACCTTCTTAGGAACAGTAACAATGGACCTGGCTGCTTTGCCCTCTCCGTAAGGTCAGTCAGACGAAATTATCTTAAACTCCTTATACAGATTGGTCTTTCAATAATGGGTTAGGTGAAAACTGCATTACTTCTCTACTTAGGGGCTACCGTCACATGTGGAGTACCTCAGGGATCAATGCTCAGTGCTTTGCTGTTAATATTTTTATACCCTATTTTTTGGAATTCCGTCTTGCCATAACCATTAAGTATGTGGCTCTAATGTTGTTTTTTATTATACTGAAAAGACACAAGTCATTAGTCAGTGGTTGCACTTAAATTTCTAGACATTCTAATTGTAATTGTTATATATATCAGCTTCATTCTTTTTTGAGTTGAATATAATGCTTATGTAGCTGGTCATTGTAATAATGTTAGATCAAAAGTTTGTTTCTTCTCATTCTGTGCGACACAGAGCAAAGGACTCAGTGAAGCATTTCCATGTGACACGCAGAGATAATGTCTACCGTTTTGGGTTTAACGAGTTCCCGAACCTTCATGACTTTCTCAGACACTTCGCCAACCAGCCTCTCCTGGGAAGTGATGCAGGTACAGTATGAACACCTGGATTTTCACAGACAGGCTAATGAATTAAATTGCTTCTATTTCCAGACTTTAAGGGTTCAAAAGAACTGACAATTTTATGCTTTTAAGGAATTTTATAAATTTTTTTTAAAGATGTAATTATATTTCTTCAGCAGACAATAAAAACAGATAAAAATAAGATAACACAAAAATATATTCACACTTACTTTTGTAGTTTTTGTTTGCTTGAACGTACCTTCATCTACAGACATTTTTATAGCGTTAGTAGTTGAACATAATGTTTCCATCTTCAAATTTTCCATTTGATCTTTAATGGATTGTATAGTCTATAGGGCTGCACAGTTGAGCCGTGGGTAGCACTGATGCCTTGCAGCAAGAAGGTTCCGGGTTTGAATCCCGGCTGCATGTAGTTTGCATGTTCTTCCTGTGCATTTGTGGGTTCTCTCCGGGTACGCTGACTTCCTCTCACAGTCCAAAAATATGACTGTTAGGTTAATTGGCTTCTTTAAATTGTCCTTAGGTCTGAGTGTGTGCATGAATGGTTGTTTGTCCTGTTTGTCTCTGTGTTGCCCTGCGATGGACTGGTGACCTGTACAGGGCGGACCCCACCTCTTGCCCATAGACTGCCGGAGATAGGCACCAGCAACCCTTGTGACCCTAACAGTGGCTACACCATTTTAAATGAGTGTCACAATTCACCTTGAAAACTAGATATATCCCAGAATACTTTGCTCGGAGAGCTGTCCTTGCAAAGCATTATGGGATTTGCTTTCACAGTGGCCCACTGTTGCTACCTGACAGCGGCGATTAACAATAACAAAGATGGCGAATGTGTAGCAAGATTTACGTGGCCAACGGGGAGCAAAAAGTAGTGATCATCTATCTATATATAGTCCCTGCTCTATATATTGATTGAGGGATCTAGGGGTTAGGGTGGACGTTCGGACACTGCCACAGTTTGTGAAACACACTTCACTTCTGGTTTCTCAGCAGTCCTGCCCAGGGTTCTGCTGTTACTGGAGGAATTTAATCCTATGTGCCACTCTCCTTCTGGATTATTTTACTGTGAAATACCATTTTTGTTGATCAGTAATCTAACACAATTAGTTATCCATCTATGCATCCATCCATTGTGTTTGGCTTACATGAGGCTGGGTCAGCAGGTACAGAAAGGGACAGTTCAGTACTTCCTCCCTTGGATTTGTCTTGGAAAATCACAACTAAATGATCATAGTCAAGGCTTGGGATGGAATAGGCCATTTCCACTTAAGTAGTACTGGATAGAGCATATTGACAGACATTTTTATTTATTTATCTTA